TGGAGAACGTCTTGCCGGTGTCGGGGTCGAGTATACCGAAGTGGAAGTCGTCGAGACGTGTGATGTAGGCGAAACCGGCGACGGGAACGAAGAGTGGGATGAGATTCCCACGGAAGTCGACGGGGCGGACAATGCCCTGGACGACGGGAGGTTGCCCAACAGATGGGTGCTCGGTGATGGGGTTGTGTGCAGAACCATCGAGATGGTCCGTGAGGGAAGCCTGGCCAAACATGGGGTTATAGTTGGGGGTGGACACGTTGGTGTTTGTGTCGGCGGTGTCAGGCGCTCCGTTGATCGATAGATTGCCCATGGATTCCGTAACTTGAGCGGGAGCGATCTGAGAAGCAGAGGATTCGGTGTTGATAGACATTCTGTGTGAGTGTTTGCACAGGACGAGTAACACGAGCCCAATATATAGGTAGACGACCAAGCACATGGGCGCCTGTTCAACATCATGACATCGTGTCATCGAACTCTCAAAATCTGACGTCAGTGCCATTGATCCAACGAAAATTTGAGGATCATTGTTATCTATTGTGCCCAGACCTCTAGAAAGTTCTGAAATATTCTTTGCCCCCTTTGCTTCGAGGTACTGTTGAAGCTCAATTAAATGGCTTACTTGACTGTATGGTAGCCAAGTTTTGTCTCCGGATTTCCACAGGACTTCAAAAATCGCATTTTGACCTTCATTTTTATGAGATATAATTTTTTCTACTGCCCATTCGCCCTCCAAGTCTTCGAGATCGAAGACTTGAGTGTCCAGACGACCCGGAAACAACCGGTCATCATTCGGAATGTGGATTCTAAGTAACGAGGAATGGAAGACATCGTGGACCCCTCGCTTTCTGAGACTAGGCGGAAGTTTAATCCGAAAAGAATTATTTCCGAAATCCTCAGTAATGAGGTATGGCCCGATAAACCGAGGAGCGAGTTTCCGACTCAAGCCCTTGGGTAGGTTAATATTTTTCGTTGAAATGTAGACATAATCATTTAATTTGAACGGAGTGACGATCCGCTTTCTATTAGCATTACGAACTGATTTCACGCGAGCTGCTATTATTGAATCATGTGCTCGCATTATGGCGGTCTTCATGCGCTTCGCGAACGTTCTTACACCGGGGAATTCGGATGGCTTGTTTGAGTCCCAAATGAACGAACGTGGCATTCTTCCCATGTTAAGGAAAAATGGTGCGAAGCCCGTATTCTCCGAGCGAGCTGAATTGATGGCAAATTCAATAGCAGGTAATTTCTGCACCCAGTCCTTCTGAGTTTGCCCGATACAATGGCGAATCATCTGGGTGACGGTTTTGTTCGCACGCTCAGTAGCGCCGTCCGACTCTGGATGATAGGCGCTCGACATGTTGAGCTTCGTTCCGATCAATTTGTGCAACTCTTCCCAGAAGACTAGTGAACAACGTGTCACGGTCGCTTACAATAGATCTTGGCAGTCCATGGTGTTTGTAGACCTCTGAGAATATTAATTCAGCAATGTCCTTTGCAGTGTAAGTCGTCCGTCCTCGATGAACTAATCCGGAAAATAGATCAATGATGACAGTGATCGAGTCGAAACTTCCATCGCGATTGGATGATTCCGGAAGCGGTCCTACAAAATCAATACCGATCGAGTCCCAGGGTTGCCCAG